TCTTGAAAAAGTGGGTTTGGCCCCGCTCTCTAATAAGTTCAATGTATATATCTTTCAAACCAATAAAGCTATATGACCCAAATTTGTACAGGCTAAATTTTTTCAAACTTTCTTACGATAGTGTGAAAATATGTGAAATCGGATAATAGCCCCGCCCACTTTCGTTAAAAACTAATAAAAGTGCGATGAATCAATATCTAAATGTGTGAAAGACATTAAATTTTACAATCAGGAGAAAGGAGAAATTGGGAGAGGATAATTAGGAAAGTAATTATTATCTACATATACTTTCGTTTGTCTGAATATCAAAAACGGGTTGAATCGGGCGAATACTTCCCTTAGCCCCCATATACCTAATATAAAGATTTTCGAACTTTCGGGTCACTTTATACCGCATATAGCGGCCAATATGTGAGGTATCTTAATAAAAATGAGAGAGCGTGTTTTTCTAATTAGAGTGTATTTTTATGCCTAAAATGGATAAAATTGGGTGAAAACTTGACCTAGCCGTTTTATGATTAATATCAGAATTTCCGAACATCCGGCTGACTTTACTCCATATAGATTGGTGATGGTATGTGAGATACCTTGAGGAAACCTAGGCAGCATTAGGGCTTTGATCCTTGCAAGCTGCAAGAGTATAAAATTTACGGTTACACCCAAACTTAGCTCTTTCTTACTTGTTTTTTGTTTTATTTCTAAACAAAAAAACATTTTCTGATAATGATTATAATAGTCTCTGACTTTTTACTATTTTAGTAATTAAAAGTAGAATTATTAATAAAAAGCTAACAACACTGTGGCTAAAGGCCTTTTATATATAATATTATATTACTTATTAAAATATGCAATCACGCGGTGTCTAAATATTATTTTATTTTTAGTTGCCAATTCCAGTAATTCACCAACAAGATCAAAACAAACGCAACAGAGAGAGCTCTGCAAAGCGAACTTCAATGATTCAGTCTCTCGGTTTTTTTATTGAAAGCGCCCGCGATCATATTGAAAAGCGAACAGACAAAATGTGTGAAAATATTTTTCGTATTCTTCGTCTCCTCATTTTGACGTTTGTTTTCAGGTTTACATATGTATATACATATTTATGTATTACATATAAATGTATATTATTAATATAACTTAAAACTTAAAGAGAAACAATGTATGAAAGCGGCTTTGAGCGCAGTCTTAACGGATATCCACAAATATATTAAGCGTGTTACGGTCATTTGGAGAAATTTTGTAAGATTATACAAATATACAAACATGTGTTAAAACTTTGTGAACGAAAACGCACATTAATGCAACTCTGCAATTCCATATGAAAAAATAAAAAAATACATATTTATTCGCATATTTGCACAAATATATAAATATGAACTCAAATCGCAGACAAAAAATGCATTAGGTTGTTAAGAAATATATATACGCTAATAATATTTACTTTATATAAATTTATAAAGATTCGAATTTCCATTTCACACATACTTATGCGCTTATGATATGTTTGCTTTCAAGCTAACATGCTAGAGTATCAGTAAAGTCAACATCTGTTAGCTGAAAGATAACTTCCGATCATATACTTTAGAATTTACATACATACATACTTACGTATGTTCATATACTCGTATGACCGTTAGTAAGCTGATGGCAGTTTACAAATGAATGTATTGCAAAAGTCGAACAAAGCCGTAGAAAATGAAATGTTATGCACAAGAAGCAGTAATACGCGGAGAAAATTAGCAGGGAAACCCTCGTATAATTAATTGTATCAAAATTTATTCTACATTTACCTGAAAATTTCCTATATGGAGACGTAAAATTAACAATCATCTATGAAAATCCCGTTTATTACTTAATTAACGGTAAGAATGTGTGATGACTCACATTGCATTACCGTATAATTTTATAATCACATACATATGTATGCACTATAATTGTAATAATTGATCGTATGTTTATATTTTAGTGACGGTACACATATGCAATATTCATTAAGTTACCTAACTCTAGTGGTAGGAGTAAAGCGGGATTACTTCTAATATTTCAATTTATTACTTTAAATGAGCATTCTAAAGCGTAAGTATTAGGGGTTTTGAATATATTGTTGTTGACAATTCAATGCAATACACTGCAGTTGCAGTTTTGTTCAAAGTAGTAAAATTTTTATTACCGGGTTTCGAATATATAAAAATAAACAAATAGCATCTGCATACATGTCCGATAAAAACAGAACAATTAAACCTAAAATGCAACCTAATATGAACAGAGCCAAGTTATTTTTTTCACCGAACACCGAATATAATATTGAATTATTTTATTTACAAAAATGTTTACATATTGCTCTTGCCGTAATTACCTAAATGAACTTTCGTGATATATTTAAAAAAAAAAAACCCATAGTGATATTGTTCTTGTAACAGCAGATAGCACGTTCTCCAAACATTTTTTGATACTTTCGATAATTTTTAAACAAATTATCGATATTCAGTATCATGCTTGAATTATTTTATTTGCTACTTGTATTAGAAAAAATATTTTGTGTTTTAAACGAATTTTCAGTACTATCTTGTGTTTGCTATTATTATTTTGATATACAGCTGTATGTGCACGCATTTGTATGTTCATTGACATTTGAGCAACTGAGGCAGTTTCGTTGATTTTGCAATGATTTAAACTTGTTTAAGTGGCATTTAGTAGCGGAATGTAGTCAGCATTATTTTTTACTGCCGAAACGCTTAAATTAAAGTGCAGTGAAGAGCAACAACCGGGCCAACCAAACAATTTGGCCAGAAAGCAAATGAAAAATCTCAAACAAATAAGCTGAGCTCAATATCATAAGCAATTACCAAAACATAAAGGCTGAGCTAAACGGCGAAAACAGTGGAATGCGAAAATTTGTCGAAAAAGCAACAACTTGACACTGATTCTCGCATTTCTACCTTCTACAATATATTTCACCGTTCATTGCCCACCACATTTTCTACCTTCTACCAATTTATGTATATATGTACATATGTACGCATGTACGTTTGTATATCGTTCTCTCAGCTCACATTCAGTGTGCACTTCACATAAAGCTGCCGCTAATATTGAGAGCATACAGCGGCCGCGTGAGCGGAAATCATGCTGAACAATGAAATATCTCTGATTGAAGTCAAAGTGCGAAAAGTGCTAATGAACTATGGGCTACATCAGCATCTGATAAAGATGAGGTAATGATTATAAAAACTGCGTGCATTTCGCACTTAAAATTGGCCACGTAGAAGAAAGTTAGACGGTAAAGCATTTCAAATTGTTTAGAAAAACTTGCCGATGTTTGTGTTAATGTATCCCATGAATGTTTGTATCCAATGAATTTCTAATAGCGAAGAAAATGCATTGCGATGCGTTTAAAAAGTAATAAAATTTGCATTTGCGATTGAGCAAGTGGGGAGTACAGTTTAACGCAAGAACAAGAGAAGAATTCAATTAATTTCATTTATTTTCACTTTTTTCAAATGGCTTTACTCGGCTGATAAATACAGCAACAATGGCGATGGCGTGTCGAGAATGCCAGACATTACTGCAACACGCTCACACATTCACACAATGCGACATTGCCGTTCAATGGGCGATGTGCTTGATGGCGTTGGCGTTGACGATGGTGCTGGCGCTGACGCGTTGGTGATTGTACTCATGACGATAGTAACATACATACATACATATGTATGTGCATGACACATGTATACAGCAATGCAAATGCGATGTTGACAGCGGTCTGAGCGAGAGTATTGGCAGCGCACACAGCAGTGCACATTGCAAAATAACAAGTAAATGCAAGCTGTTTCTGTCCTCTGGCATTCAAAGGCGAAGTTTACTTGGTTGATAAATAGAATAAAAAACGAGAAGGCAATTGAAGTGTATGCTTTGTTTGCAAATATAATTAACAAGCGCAGCAGCGATTGTCTTTCTTCAATAATACTTACAGTAGGTGGCATTAAGCACATGCTTATGCACATAAGTACATCTACATGTACAATATTTAGAAATACGCCTAATAAATGCGAGACAACAGCAATAATATACGAATTAGCATTTCAACAATTGATAACGAGATGTGCCCGGGTACACGAAAATAAATAGAACTGATTGATGTTATGTTAGCGCCTCAGCATGCACAAACATACACAAAAACACCGAGAATTCCTTACTGGCATATAGATGTAAATATATTGATAAATCGAAGTTAATTCTTCATTTGCCCTAACCAACAATGGTCAATATGTGCAGACATATGATTATTTGTATATTATCGGATATCTGCATTTATAGTTAACAGCACACATGTCAATGCACAAACTGTTAATGCTGTTAAAAAGCTAACATAAGTAATTACATATAAGCACTCAAAGGTAAGTGGAAACATTTGTTAAGGGAAATAGAAAAGTTAGTGAAAGTATTTTTAGATCTAAAAACATTGTAATTAATTTATCGGAGCCATCAGAGATAGGTGTTGTTTTAGCCGCACAAAATTAAAAGCATTATATTACACCGCAATTAACATCAATGCACACTCATAAGCTTTCATTCATACATACATACACATACAAATATTAATAACCTTAGAAGTAATTTATTAAAGTTTACCATCGGAAGTATTTAGTTAGTCATTAGCACATTGTTGAATATAATTGGATTTTCTTAAACATTAGACCCACTTTTGAAATTATATAAATTTTCATTAATATTTAGTCTAATTAAAACTTATTCTCGAATTGCAAGGTAAAAAGATGGACCGAATTAAATTTTTCAATATTTCTTAAATACTAAACTTAATAACGTACGGAATAGGCCCTGCAAAATTTGTTAAAATAAAAAAAGCAGCCGTACTACATATTTACATACATATTATTTACTTTAAAGCACAACATGCCACACTGAAGCGCAACTTTTATATTCTCCTAGCAACAGGATAAAGGGAGTGGCAGACTAGTTATATATACAGAAAGATATTAACATACCTTTAAGGAGATCAACTGCAGCTTTCGTTTTCAATTGCAACAACAACGTATGTACTTGTAAGTGTAATATCTACTTTAAACTGACTTCAAATAGCGCTAATTCAACAGGGAAGCGGCGTATATATATTGCGAATCTAAATTCGTTTAAGAAACATTTTAGGTACACACGCACTTTTCGGCACTTGTTATTTAATATAAAGATTTTGCTGCCAATAATGTTGAATGATTTTACGGTATTTATCTCCCAATTAAAAGTGTTAAATAGGCAATTGTGTCAAAAGGTTGCAAATCCAATAATGATGGTAATAAGTAAAAACGACTTTGTGACGCCGGTGGCCGAATGCACAGCTCCTTAAAGTTGCAACGATGCACATATGTTCACACACATAAGACGGAAGCACATTACGGAGCTGGAATAGCGCAGCGTTGGCGACTCAATGACGCGACTTGTTTTTCTGCAAGTTTTGCTTTTAATTTCTTGCTTGCACAAGTTGGCTTTGAATGCGCTGCCTTTTGCCGTTTGCTATTTTAGCCGCACTTATTTTGTTGTATTTTTATAATTTTTTTTTATTCCACACCCCCATTAAACACAAACAACACTTCCCGCTTCTTTTGTATCACTTTTTATACATTATTTAGCCAGATAATTCACAGAACTACTCTCTTTACAAGGACGTCGAGGGTGGAGCAGTTCACGAATAACGCGCACATAAAAGAATAACGAGTAAAAGGAAAGATGAAGCATAAGCAAGGGGTAAAAATAAAAAGGATGCTGTGTTGGCTTTCGCTTTCTTTTACTTATATATCTGAGAAATTCTACTGGTGGCACCATTAAAAACACTTCACAATAAACTTTAGCACATATTTACAAATATTAAGCAACCATTTTGTTTTTTACAAAGAATATACACTTTAATTTATTGAATTTTGTATTTTTTTATCAATTCTGTACATCCTTCGTAGATATACATTTTTTCAAACGTAGAGAACACCTCTTAAACCTAGCAAACAACTGTGCAAACGTGCACTCCTATAATTGTGAGTCCGTTGCTAAAAACCAAATTGAAAATGAAAATGAAATCCAATCAAATCAATTCACTCAGCGAAAAAGCACTCTTTTCTACGCTCATTTACTCAAAGTCGCAGAGTTGCATGGAATCAGCACGACACACAATTTAAGCATGCAACTTTATTTAAGCAGACTGATTTAGGCATATATATTTTAAACAAATTTATTTATATTGAGAGAAAAAAATTGTAAATGTTTACGTAACATATTTAACTATATATTTTCTTTAGTATAATTGTTTAAGAATGTTTGACACCTCAATGAAATTATTTTCAAAAAAGTTGGCAACATAGCCGAATGATTTGCAACGAAACATTGGCAATTGTCATTCTTAATTGTTTTTACAGCTGTCATATTCACAATTTATTTTTATTATTGTAAGAAAAAGGATTTATTGAGTTTTGTACCAAAAAATGCCAACAGAAATTGAAAACATAAACCCAAACGTTTATGGCAAACGTAAAGAACGTGAGGTGACTGCTAATGAGGAAGATGAAGATGTGCCAGATCCATTCGATACACGTGAAATATTTGGTATGTATTTGTTTACTTTGAATTTGATTGAACATTTCATCATTATTTTGCTTCAATGTAACATTAGACCTTATTCGCAATATCAACGATCCGGAACATCCTCTCACTCTGGAAGAGCTGCACGTAGTACAGGAAGACTTAATCAATGTCAACGATGGCAAGAATGAAGTAAATATTAAGTTTACGCCAACGATTCCACATTGTTCAATGGCTACACTAATTGGATTGTCCATACGTGTGAAATTATTACGATCGCTGCCGCCTCGTTTTAAAGTAAATGTTGAGATAACACCTGGAACACATGCTTCTGAAAACGCAGTTAATAAACAACTTGCAGACAAGGAGCGCGTTGCAGCGGCTCTGGAAAATAAACATCTAGCGGAGGTTATCAATCAGTGTATCGCATCGAAAGTTTAAAGGGACTTATTTTCGTTTCGTTTTTGTTATATTTTACAATATTAAGCGTGTAGTTAATAAAACTAGATATTAACAGCTAACACCACTTTATTTTATGACTTCTTCGCTTGCACAGGAGACGTATTCGTACTTCCGGTGGAGGGTTGGGACTTTGTTGGATCGTATTTGAATGTCTTGACTAATGGACCCTTGCCTGCTTTTGCAAAACGAATCTCATCCAATCGTTGGCGTTCTTCAATTTCTTTGGTTATTTTCATATTTTCCCACGCTAAAAAATATTGTCAAAATAATAAGGTGCTGTTGAAAACATATATAGATTTTTGTCGTTACTTACATTCTTTCATGCCTTTAACGAAGCCTTTCTTTTTAATGGGAAGATTGTCTGGTTTATGTATTACCATCCTATCAATTTTGAAATAATCACGCACTGCCGGTATTCTCAAAATTGCCACCTTAAAATAAACAGATTACGTAAATCATGTCATAAATACCTACGGAATATGTTTTATGGTCTACCTGGCCTAAAGAAATAAAATTGCTGCAAGCCCAATAAGTAAGAATTGCCGCAGGGAAGTTCATTGTAAATGGGAAAATTGCTATCGGTAATGCTCGAAGTATATATTTCATCACTTGCATATTTTGCGCCGATAAACGTGCACTGTCCGTACCAATTTCGATTGTTAAATAGAGTGTAGCACTGGTAATTAATGGCAACATGAAAATTGGATCGGCCACTGTCAGATCGGTAAACCAGAATAAACCTCCTTCACGCATTGACTCCACTGGTGTATTCGCCATAGCACGGAGACCCATGAAGAACGAAATGAAAAGTGGCGCTTGTGCAAGTGGTACAATCATATTCTTCAAGGGGTTAATTTGTTTCTCCCTCATAAATAACATCATTTCCTGCGCGTACCGTGCCGAATCGATGGCATTTCCACTCTGTCGGGCCTCAGTCATCTTCATTTGTAAAACTTGCATTTGTGGCATGTAATTGTTTAATTTCGCTGCATTTCTTTGTGCCATGATCACAAGTGGGAAAATAATTGTACGTACTACCGCGGTTCCTATTGCGATAGTTGCCCACCATGGCAAATCACAACCGACATGCAGATACTCCATGCAGTTTTGTACAATACCCACCGGCGTCCATCCACCCAGCCCTATAGATGCAAATGTAGGCTCACCTGCAGCGTTGAGTACTTGTGTAAGGGCTTCTTCTACGGGTACGGCCGGTGCTTCGGGAATGGTAGAAAGGTCTACCACCGTTTTAGATGCATTTGCTGCATCTGCTACGTTGGTTGCTGCTGCATCGGCACTTGCAAACCGTATACCACCAGGTAGCAATGTAAGAGCATTTATCGAAGACGGTAATAAAAGATGTGGTTTTGTTGTATTATTACGACTTGTGACATTATAGTTTCTCACATGTGTTGTATTGATTGTTGTAGTTGCGGAATCCGAAGTAAACTAAATCAGAAAATATTTTTTTATTTTAACTATCTATAAATTTACACAACACATTTATAGGTTATGTAAAATATAATTGCGGCATTTTGCATTGCTCTTTAAACCAACCATGTTATGAACATTCACCACATTTACTGTTCTTGCATAACGCAAATAGTGCACTTTTGTCGATAACATATTAATTTATGTTTTTATTAATTGTATTTAACTATAATACAAAACAACAACGAAATGTTTTAGTTGAAATTCGTTGCTCCGATCAGCTGTTCAAAGAGAGAGGGAAGTGTTAGCGCTGCGAAACTACTGTCATGAAGGAGTATGTTCAAGCGTTCTTGAAGCTTGCCGATTGTCATTTCCGCGCTAAACAGTTGCTTTGTCCGCTTCCTGTCATCAGAAAGTAATATTTATTTTGTGTTTCGTTTAAAATAATTTAAATTTAAACAGCTATTAAATATTTCCAATTTGGATATTGACAATCTTAATTGAACATAAAAATTAATATTATTATATATAATTTTGTTGTTGGAATATGAGACTAACTAATTCCTCATACATACTCGTATATATTTTTGAGCTGAACTTGATTTGAAAACCTACCGCAGTAGTGATCTTGGAACCAATGTTCGTGATTTGTTTTGGAGTGACTTTGGCTAACCTCGATTTTTCTTAGACACAATATATAATATGTATATTTCAACATACTTAAGATTATGGTAAGTGTTGTTCTTATTCCATTAGCACTGCAAATTTATAATTTTTGTTAAAACAATGACCGAACGAAAGACACAGCTCAGCAGCTGTAAGCTATAATCAATGTAGTTCTGATTTCCTGCCTTATTGGAGAATAAGAAGTAGAGCTTATTAAAAAGAAAATAGTTTCATAATATAGTTCTCTTACTAACTTTGTTCTTATAAATATATTAACTTTTCTTTGTACTATGCAGACTACTTAGGCTGGCATGCAGTGAATGAAATCGTTACACTAAAGTGATTACCATATTACAAAACTCTCATAGAAACTAGAACAGACTTTGACAACAAAAAAAGTTCATAAATGTGTAACCGGGCACTCCAATTTATCTTGCGCCAACAAACAAATCCTCTATCGTAACAAAATTGATTTATTCGAGCAAATGCTTTCAATTCTAGATAAGACCTGCAAGTTTGTACGTACTCCAATTTTTGTTACGATCAACTAGAATAAGTGACAGTGATGGTAATAGTAATATATGTAGGTGGGCCGGTGCCGATTTAACCCATATTCAAATGGTGGACCGGTAACTGTTACTTGTACAGAATAAATTAGCATGCTGTTAGCTATGGATATAAACAGAAATATGTACATACTCGTGTATGAATGCAAACAAAATTGACGCTTGCAAAGCTTTTCCTACGCCTAACTGGTCATATCTACGATTTCCATCAAACAAATCGCCAAATCAGTGATGCTCGAAGATTTATGGTTGTGGACTTCTGCAATTTCTAAATTAGAAAAAAAATAAATAAACCATTTGCGGTTATTCTCACATATGCATGTGTATGCGCTATGCATCAATGGGAGAGAGGAGAGGAGGCTCATGTAAGAGTTATTTTAAAGAAAGGCAGATTTGTCAGAACTTTTGCAAATGCGCATAAGAACATATGCGTATCAATAAAAAGTTAGTGCAGTTAAGCGCACATGTACACATATACATACACACATCTTCGTTGTATGTATGTTCTTAAATCTGAAAGCATTTTGTCATTTTCATTACTAAAACAAATTCAATTAAAATACAATTTTTCATCTTTTTCAATTGGCGCTGGTACATACATAGGCACAAATATTCAATATTCCAATAATATATACAGATAGTGATTGACTTGCAACTGATGTCACTATTTACAATCATGAGACATGCCAAAGGCTTTTATGAACTTTTCTTTGCGATCTCCATTTCGTTTAAAGCAAAGTGTATTCATAAATGTTGGGCTGAACAAAAAATAAGTTAATGAATTATATGAGAAACAAATTTACTCCAACAACAAACAAATGAAAAAACTCGAATTTATTCCTCTGTGTTTGGAGTTATGATTTAGTTGTAACTGCTTGTTCTCAAATTGCCTCTGCGTGCTGTTAAATTCGTGTTGTACGTTTAATAAGATTGCCTCGAGCCTTGGCAACCGTCTGGCCATTGTAGTATTTGTTTAATTGCAATTATGGAATCATCATTGCTGAAAATATATTTATTGTTACGATTAAATTATGGCAGAGCATTCGAACGTAATTTATTTTATACAAATGTATAGTGTGAGCAAGCGCGGCTACATTAAGACTCAAAAATAATAGTAATCAAATTTAACAAATACCCGAACGGTCTTGACAGTGTTATTAACACATTACTCATGAAATTGGCTAATCAGTAGCATTTCTCTTGTAATTTGTGCAGCTAATTAAAGGGATCTCTTCATATCCGCCTATAAGATAACCAAAAACAAACTCTGATTTAGAAATAAACGAACTATAGCAAAGGACAAGAATTAAGACAACTCTGTAAAAATAATAGTTGTTGTTGTAAAATCGAACGTAATAACGAAACATTTCCTCATTCTGCTGCGAGTATCCACCTTTTTCTATACACAAAATACATATCTGATATAGTATATGCATGAAGAGTAGCAAGTGGTTTACAAACTGTGATGAATGGTGACATCAAAAAGTGCTAAGATTTATCCCTCAACCAACATAATCCAAATGCATGGATTTGCGAAAACAGCGAAAATCGTATGTGTTTATGATACGAAACCAACCCATATATGATGTTAAAGACCTTAGCACTCCCATTTCCCTCTGATCCACTAAAATTGTCTAAAATGTGTAGGAGAACTGCTGAGGCTTCGTTTGCCTTTCTGTCGCAGTAGTGGTCCCTATATTTTACCTTTCCATAGCAAAACCTTCATCGTTAAATTCAAATATAGCGGGAGAGTGTTAAACTAATTCGACCGACGAAGCAATTTGCTCAATATGGAAAAATATCGACGAAAGTTGCTCACATTCAGCTGGCCCATGATTTAGTACACAATTAACGGCTGTGCAATTTCTGAGCTTAATATCAGAGTTACATATAATATATGTACAGTTGATCGAGAGTACGAGAACGTTATTGGTTCTTGCCACTACAAGAGGCGCAATAACTATTCTGATTGCTTTGTTGTGTTGTGAGTATGCTCTCTGAGCATTCTGTGGAGAAAACTAACAGCACTTGGAGTGTTAGTTCTGCCATAACGAAATTGGCTTTGGAACGAAACACGCGCCAAACGCAAATGCACACACACACACTCACACATATAGAGTATAGTAGATGCCAAGTGCAGTGGAGTAGCTGTTAGCTCTATTGAAGCAGAGTAGTATTTCCGTTTAGCACACACACACACACGCACACATGCGCCATGTAAAAAGTCAACAAGTCAGCGGTTATGCTCCACACCAATTTGAACGTCGCCTAAACGGAGCGCACCGCGAGCTTAGCGCGATCAACAAGTGTGTTCGTGATATTCTGTGGCGTTCAGTGGACAGGCGTTTGATTCAGTTCGTTTAGTTTCTCACGAGCGGTCTTTTGGTTAAAACGTTGCTTTCTTGTCGGGCGGATGGTGGCGCATGCGCACTTTACTTCAACACTGATCCATTGGGATTTCTATAGAGAGAACAAAAACAAATAATAGTAATAATCGACTAGTTTGTGCCATTCATAAATCTTTATTAATAAACGAAATTGAAAACGAATGCATTTGTGCACTAACAAACATACATATAGGCATATATGCCTACATACTTACTTGCGTTATAAATATCTACGACTTTAATGTAATTGTGTTCAGTAGAAAATTCAGAGCCAAAGAGTTAATTAAGCGAGTTGACAAAGTTTATATTTAAGAACATTGAAAGAAGCTGACTTTTTTTATTTTTAAATGCATTTTTTGTATTTTCGTATTTGAAAAACACCAACAGCTGTTAATGCTGCCTACATTGCCAGCGAAAAGTTGCGGCTCACCAGGTGGGTGGCAGTGTAAAAACGAAAGGTGGAGAGCGAATCAACAGAAAATACTGGTTAGAATTGAAAACATTCGCGCATATGTGCATAAAAGTGCACACCTAACTACAAACAAATACACACACACAAATGCCTATAGTATATTTGTGCAACTAATTCAAGACGTTTAACAAAAAGCAAAGCACTTTGAAAAACTGGTAGCGAAAACTAGAATTTCTGTGACAATTTTTTTATATGCAAAAAAAGCCACACAAAGACATACAAACACACATATGCGTTCATAAGTAAATGTGAAGAAAACATTGAAAAACGATTTACTTTAAAGTAAAGTGTAATTAACAAATTGCAGCGCCTTTGCAGGAAAATTTCGCTCGCGTCTATTTGTAAGCAGCTTAGAACGTCACAAGTGCAGTTAACACAACGAGCAAACAAACTTGTATACACTTAAAAAACGAGCGTGTGCGCGTCAAAGTGAAAATATTATAGTGAAACGCGAAATAACGCGGGTTTGTGCGCCAACTTGCAGCATTTGCACTTCCGCTCCACGCGACGTCGCTGCACCAGAAGAACAGTCAGCCGCAACGCCCACCTGTTGGTCGACCTGCTTACCATATACTCGTACATCTGACTTACAGACGCAGTGCGCCCTCATACGCACATATTCACACATTTTTGAAGGCGAGCGAAGGTTGGACTGCCGTTTATTAGCGCGGTACGTATTTACACAAGTATATCTACATAAATATGTGCGAGTACACACAATGGTATTTGAAGCTGATATCTATGATATGATATTCAGTTATCACGCTTAATTGAATTTTGCCAAGTGCTAAGTTATCAGATCAGCTGAGAAAATCTAGAAAAGGCGGTATACAAATATTTATGGACCGCTTAATGTTATGCTAAGGCTACTGGCAATTGCTTTTGTAAATATGAAAATGTGATACAGGGTGTGCCGGAAGCAAGTTCACACTTCGTGTAGTCTTATTGTTCGGAACAAAAAATATTTTTATTGTTGTGTGTTCTATTTTAGCGCTGCTTAAAATCAATAAAAATATATAAATAAAAATAGTGTATAGAAAGTAAAAAGTGTTGTTGTATACACACGATTTCTACATATTTTTGTTACACATAACCTTTAAATAACTAGAAACCCGTCAGCAACAAAACTTAAAAATATAGCAAATAGAAAATAATATATATTTCGTTAAGATATGCTGCAACACTTCTGGACAGCTCATCTACTAATTATAATAAATAATTTTCAACCGTCTGACCTCATGCTGAAAATAGAACAATAAAGTTAAGATTTGAGC